AGTCCAAACATCTCCCTAATGCCTAATATAGAGGTGGATGAAGAGGTGATTTTATGCTTTAAGTCTTGCAAGCATAGTTTAGGTCAGATACAGAACGCATCGTTTTGAGAACTATTGCAGAACTCCTCTTTAATTGTCTGATCAAATCTTCTGTATTCCGTCCACTTAAACCGTTGATGATGTTGGCAATCAGTGTTTTTTTCTTCCTCAAGCAAAAATGCCAAGCAAGGCAGTGTCACAGATTCATGCATGAATCACTCAGAAAACAACCAGAGATCCACTTTGGATTGAAACTCTACTTTGCATGTTATCTCCCCTTTAAACACAAATTATATTAATTCAACAGCCTTACATTTTCAAATACAGGAAATAGCATGAAAAAAGCAATATGTTTTCATAAAACTTTGGGTCACTTTGGGTGTAAGGATTTTTTCATAACGCGGAGCTTTTCAAAAGTCAAATTATTTGTACCAATGCACACGCAACCTGTGAACCACACTTCACAGTAATTTAGTTTGAAGGTGAACCGTGTATCAGTTTTGTTAACAATAATTTGTGAAAGTCAGGTATTATTGTACAGCCAAAAGCAAAACCTCCTGAACTTTGTTTGGGCAATAAACGTCAGCAGATGGAACTGTGTTGAACCAATATCAGAGCATCACAGTTATCAAATCAAAAATAGTGTATTTATTTATAGTATATAATTTAATGTTTTTCACAATAAAATCACACATTCAAGTCCAGAAAAAATAGATATTTTGAGCTGCACAACAAAAGAGGAAACATCATGCATTACTTTTGGTCATTTGAGACTTGAGACTGTACTTTGGTATTTCGTTGTGTGGAATTTGAACTAAAAGCTCTCATGTTGTAGTACCCACTTTGGCCACCAGAGGCAGGCAAAACCACGTGTTGAATCATTGAGCATTAAAGGCCACTGCAAATTAGACACTGTGGGTGCGTTCAAACACGATATTGCAGTGTTTTCTAAAGTGGTGAGTGTATTGGTTGATTTAAAGTATTAGTTACTAGTCTAATATAATTGCCCGAAACATAATGTATCAAATCTCACTATACTGTATATGAATCAGAGAAAAAAAGTACCAAAATTAAGATTAAGAGATCCTTTATCCTTTTTACATAGTTGGGAAATGTCAGTGTTGGATCACCGGTTACGGAAGATAACCGGTGATTCGATACTAAAATAAAAACTCCAACTTTAGCATAATAAAGAAGCATGTATAAAAAACTTCAGCTTTAGCATAAAAAAGAAGCAAGTATAAAAACTACAACTAGTATATATTAGTAACCTTTTCATATAAGACAAGACAATACTCGAAGCCCTTGAACTTGTTTGGCCCCCGGTTCTCTTTCTGAAATGCAGTGTAACATTCTGACAGCAGCTGATTAAACACTAAAACCCTTTGGTATTATGATTGTTCTACCTCCCTGCTTCGGAGCCTCGTAAACAGCTCGTTCTCCATCTTTACTGCTGCCTGTTTACTGCCTGTGTTTGTGGATGATTGCTTCAGAGAAATCACTTTTACAGTTTCACTTGCTTTGCTATAGACAACGGTACGAGGCGTCCTTCTGTTTGACTGATTGTGAATTGATGGTGAGAGTAGACAAGTTCATAAACACAATAATTACCAGAGGGAAGTAGCATTTTAGTTTTCCAATCTGATCTAAAAGTATTTCAACAAGACGTGCACAGAGGCAGAATAATCCATTCAGTTTGTGTTTATACTTGTTTGCAGCAGCATGTTTTACTGAATAGAAAAGAAAGAAACTAGTCCATATTTGATAAGCTGTTTGTTTGGAAGAATCTTTTTATAATACTGATTCCCTAAACTTGTTTTCCCTAAACTTTGTTTGTTAGTGCTCTTGGTCAGGACCGGAGCTGGAGGATTGTACCTATGGGGCATGATTTGGGTGATGTGGGAGAAACCGGAGCACATGGAGGAAATCCACCCTGAAACAAATTGAACACTGTGACCTTCAAACGAAAACAATTCAGTGTCACAACTCTTTTGTGTACAAATCAGCTGCCTTCTTCTTAATGGTAAACATGCTACATTTCTGAGGCTTGAAAGCTCAGTACTTTAAAGGAGCAGTATGTAAAAATCTGGCCAAAAGTGGTACCACAACCTCTCCCACTTTTCGCCAGATTTGCAGACGAATCCAGCTGGCCATAATAGCTGAATAGACAACAATTTTGTCAATAACAAATCTATAATCAACACATTTTTCACAAAAATAGAAATCCTTGTTGTATTGTGAATGATTTGAGAATCATAAGGAGACCTTTTATAGTACAGCGTCCACATGTTACTTTACCAGTGAGTTTAGCTCGATGCCGTGAGTTCTGGCAACCCGGATCACAGACTTTCTGATTGGTAAAACGGTGGAGGGCGGGACTTATCAAATTAAAACGATTTATCAAAATAAAAACAATAACAAGATTTAGTGGCCGTAAAACTAATTTTCCAATTTAAATATCTGACCTAGTGTTATCAGTTAAAGAAGTATTCGAAAAGACCATGATTTATGAATGTCTTTTTAATGGATTAGGGCCATTTACGGATGATTTGATATGAAAATCTTACACATTGCTACTGTAATGGTAAAACCTACAAAAACAAAACAAAATTTAAAGCAATATGGCCACCACTCCATAATAATTCACGACTAAAAATAAACTATTCAAACCTCCGTCATCTTCATGTTGCAATCCACTTCAATACGTGCAAAAGGAATCTATTATCAAATCAAATATGGCTTCCTATAGGAATATATATATGAATTCACCATGCAAAGACGGTACTCACGCAACCAGAGTGCCTCACAAATAAAAACGTATTTTCAGCTCAGATACACAGAAAAGAGCTCTTACACACACCAACCTGTACTTCGCACCTGCAGAGTCTTCAAATCCATGAATGATTACCTTTGGCTTATGATGAATGCCTTTCCAAAGCAGCTCACCTGAATACTTCTCTGTCTGATCAATACTCAATTAAAGTGTTTTTTCCCTGCTTTGGGGGTTGTGGCCTGGTTGAAATAGCGTCTTTGTGCGGTGATAGCGACCCGGAGGAGAGCTAAAGACAGAAGCTAGTGGACTGATCAGCTGGCACGCATCATTACTCCCTCAGTCAATGGTAGCAAAGTTCCCTGGGGCTGAAAAGGGAGGCAGATCACTTCACTGGATGTGTGCTTTTAATGTGCTGCAATCTTGCTTTTGTAAATAACATGCAAGTACAGGTGCTTGTGTCTGCATGGGACTGGAGAGATTTGTGCAGATATTATGAAGGCTTAAATGTGTTTCAGTGGAAAGGGCAAGTGTTTGAAACGGTATACAGTAATTAGCATGTTGCATTTTGGGGATTTTTTTTTTCTCAATGTTGATAACACAACCTGCTACATTTGGTATGACTAAAATTAAAACCAAAAACCGTTACATTTAGTAAATTGGTAATAGCTTTAAGGATGAGCATAAGTATGTATACCACTGACATTCCCAGCACACAATGACCTGTCTGTCAAAAAAAGACCTGGTAACATTTTCTATGGAAACGAAATACATGTTAGACCACAAGATATACATTAGTAGGATATACATGTGAATCACACCAAAGTGCAGAGTTTATTTATGTTGTTTGATGCTTTAAAGGCACTCCCTATCCGCCTCTGGTTTCATAAAACAGACTTTCAAAAGAACCCCATATGTTGCATTCAATCAATTCCCAACGCTGGTAAATCAGGCAAAAACATCCTTCTTCCCTGTTAATAACATACTGCACACTATGTCCATACAATATTTTCCAAGGCCTTCGCCTTTGTGGAATGTATAATTGAAAAGACCTTGTACTTTGGAGTGGTCTGTAACCACACAATCAAAGAAAATACATGCATGGATTAAACGGGGCTGGTCTGAAGTGTTTTAGCCTCGTCAAGCTAATCTCACTGGTAAAGTAACATGTGGCCACAGATTTAAAAATGTCTCGTTGTGATTATAATAACAATAATAATAATGCATCGGTTTTATATAGCGCTTTTTCTGTGATGATTCTCAAATCATTAATGACAAAACAAGGAATAAAACCAGGATTTCTATCAGGGATGGCTTTGCATTCAGCTATCATGGTCCCAGCTGGATTTGTCTGCATATCTGGCAACCTGAGTCAGGGGGAGTGGGAGAGGTTGCAGCACCAGATTTTTACATACTGCTCCTTTAAGCGCGTGTATTTTATTCATTTTTTACTTCATGCCAGACATGGTTAACATAAAGATATTGTATCTTATCTATTGTTTTGACATTGTTTTGTGCCAATCACCTATAACAGAATCACATCCACCCATTGTATTGTACTGTCTCCCCTTTTTATCAAGGCGTCATCACATCCTTCTAAAGAGCCTTTTTATTTTAATATTGTGGTGGAGGGCAGGTGAAAAATCTTTGATAGTAAATATTGTTACTGTCAACTGTAACTTGTCTTGGTAAAAACACGTGAAACAAGTATATTGTTCCACTTCTCATTCCGTCGTTTCGCATTTCCACAAATTTGGTTTTATTTTCCCGATAATTGGTTCACTTAGGACTGAAGTATGAACGCACCCTTTGTTTCAATTTTTCTATAATTCATAAAGTTTGACAACTTCTTTATCAGTAAATACTAACAATGGTCTAATTTTTTTCAGATTGATGTTTACAAGTGGTGACAATACATAAATGCAGGATGTTGACCAGCGGGAAGGACTTTCAGACATAACTGTATGGTGAGTTTGAATCCCTATCAAACAATGAACTGGGAAAACAATTGAACATTTCCGTTTACAAAATTGCCTCTTTCCCATGGAGTCTTTATTGGCACCTGCGCTCCAACTGGAACATGAATTTGTTTCTATTTCACTTTGTACAGACTATACAACTTAATTTACTCTGGCTCTTATACGTGAGCATCCTCCTCACCTCCTCCTTATACCTCGCTGTCAGCTCCTGTTCAGCCTCTGGATTTGTGAGCAGTGAGGCCGGGCTGGCAGTGCGCTTGATTGCCCTGCAGATTCTTTCTGCTGTCTCCGGGCTCATCGGCAGAACTTGTCAGCTCTTCAGTTGCAGTTGTGAGAGTTGTGCCCTGCAGACATTGAGCTAATACTCCGCTCAGCCTGTCTGCTCTGTGCTGAACCTGGACAGGGGCCAGTGCTGTCAGCTCTGATGTCTCCATTGGCGACAGCGGTTCGTCCATCTGAGGAGTGCTACGAACCGGAACATTTTATTTCTCCTTGTGTCCCACTCTTTGCTCTAGTGACTTCCTCCTATATTCTTGTTCTTTCTGTCAGTGCACTTACAGGAAGAGAGTGGCAAAGTTAGGCAAGCTCTTCAAGTGAAAGTCGTAGAATATTGTTCCATAGTGCATTTATTTCTGTAAAATGTCAAACAATATACATATATGCCAAGTCGTTGTTTGGTATAATATTAAAGTAGCAAAATGGAAAATGTTAATTTCAAGTCATCATTAAATGGCCCTAATCCGTCAAAAGGCATTAATAAAACATGCTCTTTTCGAATACTTCTTTAACTGATAACAGTAGTTCAGCTGAGATATTTGGATTTCAAAATTAGTTATACAGCCCCTAAATCTTATTATTATTTTCATTTCGATGTCCCTCCCTCCACAGTTTTAACAATCAGAAAGTCTGTGATCCAGGTTGCCAGAACTCATAGCATTTAGCTGATCTCTAAAGTAACATGTGGCCACAGAACTAAAAACGGTCTCCTTATGATTCTCAAATCATTCATCACAAAACACGGAAAAAAAGAAGGATTTCAATCGGGCCTTTGTGAAAAAGGTGTTGGTTATAAATTTGTTGTTGACAAAACTCTTGTCTATTCAGTTATTATGGTCCGAGCTGGATTTGTCTGCATATCTGGCAACCTGAGTCAAGGAGAATGGGTGAGGTTGCAGTACCATTATTGGCCAGATTTTTAAATATTGCTTCTTTAATGATTATGGCTTACAGTTCATTTTCAAGTTTTATTCTGGAGTTTTAGAAGCTAATCATCAACATATAACAAATAAAGGCTTCATAATAGTGTATGTCACGTTGCATGTTCTGAGTCTGTTTCATGGCATAAGGTGATATAATGGACTTCTGAACAATCATTCTAATTTTCAGAGTTTCACCCATGTCCACGTGTTTTGCCCCCGTCAAAACAACTCTGAAGCTATGAGATTGCTCTTTGCATAACACATTTTATTGTCTGGGAACCATTTTATTTTCTTCCGTTCTATCACAGATGCAGCAGTCTAAGCAGAGATAGCCTGGAAAAAGCAAAGGATAAGGTTAAATGCACAAAGGGGAGACGTGCTCACAAAGACACAGCCAACAGCCCCAAAGGTTATGAAGATATAATTGTTTATTGGCACAGATGGAAGAGAGGGCTGGAGCGCCTCATTTCTTCTCATTATCTTCTTCACACTCCTTCCTTCCTCTGAACAGCTGATACTCTCAGCAGAGAATTAGCCCTGTGGAGGTACTTCCACAAAACCCGCTGTGGGACCAGTTCAAATCTCATACTGTTTTCCAAAAGCCTGCAGTGATTGCTCAGACTATGTGAACTAAGTAATACGTATGGCTGTTGTTATCTGTGACCTTCAGAGTATAACACAGTAACACTTTATTATACTAAACAAAAAGATTACATTACTTGTGGATTAAAAAATACTGGGCACAAATAGGCACTGACTTAACTAAGCCTGTGTTTTAGTTGTCTAAGTTATCCAATTGATCTCTGGCCGAGTCCTTGAAGAGCACCGTACCTGCATTTATTTTTGCATAAAGAAAAAAAATACATACATTCTTAATATTGACATTTAAAATAATTAAAACACAAATGGCCGGTACACCTCATTAGAAGGAGCAGCATCCACATCTGAGGTGCAGAGCTGTATACAGGCCGAATAGGTTTTCTCCAGTCCACACAGCAGTAGGCCGGATGCAAATCGATAAAGTAATTTTCCCCTAGCCTTGTCGTAATTAACAATCTGCCATGTGCACTCAGAGGAACTGCGGATTTGAAGAGAAGTCTTTCTCGGCTGTAGATCACAACTGAAGAAAGAGTATCCATAAGTGTAGTTTAGTATGGTCTACTTTTAACCATGTCTTTTGTACTGATGATGTGGACTTGCGTGGCCTTTTATAGCATTAGCATTAGCCCTGTCAAACATTCCATCAACCTTGGAGGCTCGGATAAATGTTCACTCAAAATTCTTTTTATATTTTATACATCACCACAGATCAGACACTTGGGCATTGAGAAGTTTAAGGCCAAAAACACAATTTCCAGGGATTTGAAACCCCCGAAATATAGGTCCTAAAACTCCTCTTTTAGTTTTAGAAGTGTATTAATTCAGCTTATATGTAAATGTTTGGTCTTCATAACTTTGTGACTATATCTGTTTCTATAAGCAGTTTAATTCTATACGCCATTATTTTTATGAAACTATCTTTTATTTTTGAAACGTGAGCAGTTAATTACCATGGTCGGTCTTCAGGGTATAGTGATCAAATTGTTATCTAGTTTTGTGTTTTATGGTCCGCATGAGAGTAATGCCAAGAATGACAGTCCAAATCACTCAACTTACCAATAGAGAATCAAACTATCCCAGTGACAAAGTAAATTCTAATTAGAGCAGCACTTCCTTTCCAGACGATCACCCTCATATCGTGACATGTTTGTGTTTGTCCAGATTCATTATTCCGTAGGGACAGCAGTGCATTCATTTGGAACAAACAGATTCAGTAAACACAGTCTGCCATCAGCCTGATGATAGCTGCTCCCTGAGAATTAATGTGCCTGAAACTAGATCTTTGGGAGAGATTTGTCAGAGAAAACCGGGATATGAGTATATGATTTCATAGATGTATTATGTCATTTCTGTGTGTCCTTGTGTCTCAATTGTCACTTTTCACACTAAATCATCTACATTCAAGACAAATGCCAGTCCTCTGCTTATATATAAACTTAATCAGTATTATTTACAGTACCTCACATACAGTATAATTAGTAACAGACAGTTGAGACAGCAGTAGAGACTTCCCTGTCCACACACTTACACCAACTCATCAGGGGAATGCTGTGGCGTTCCCAGGCCAGGTGAGGGACAATCCCTCCAGCATGTCCTGGTTCTTCGCATCGGAACATGTTACACCTGACTAGGGAAACCACAGAAAAGCCTCTGTGGAGGAAACCCAGATCCATGATTCTGTTGTCTCAGTCATTAGTCATCAGCCAAAGGAACGCAGACTGAGCAGTAAATCAACAGCTTTGCCTTTTGATTCCATCTTCACCAAAACAGCTCAGAGGTTTCTGTCAACTAACGCTCCATCCTTCCTGCATTTTAAACAAAACTTCTCCACCAGGAGAGATAAAGTTTTTGTGTCCAGATGATGGGAGCCATGTTGCCTGGAGCTTTATAGCCTGGTAGAATCTCACAGGCAAACAGATGAAGCAGGGTTTGAAAGCCCACAAAGAGTAGTTTTATATAGAAAATGTTGCCATAGCGCCTGGAGCCAGGCGTGGGGTCATGGTTCATATGCGATAACCCATCCACAGTGTGTTACATGGGGGTGGGTACAGAGAAGACTGGTGAATGTTTCAAAATGTATACTATCTATCATAAAAGTCTAAAACATTTGCCATATTTTTATTTTTTATTTTGGACTGAATTTCTTATGCAGGACAGTCCTTCCTCATACATCTGTGTCTGATAGTAGCCACAGAAAGAAAACACACATCACAGTTTAGCAGGGCCTGAGGAATAAACAGCGTAAATGTCTCCCAGAGCAACCACGAGGAAGTGCTGTGTTCCTCTGATCGATGCCATACATAGTGCATGAGTTTCACAAGAAGCCCGATGTGGCACTGTGATAGAAATAACAACAGAATATATATTCTTACGTGAGGTAATAAATAGTTATTTCAACTCAAATCGATCCATGGCTCAAGTCAAACCAAGGAAACAGCCTCAGAGAATGTTTGTAGATTGTTAATATGTTGGAGATGTTTCAGGGAGATGCACATCTTTGATGGCTTCTGTCCTAAAATGAGATGGTATTGACTGCATTGTTTTTATAGTGAGTGCTACGGCTTTAGTACTGGAATAAATTCCAGGTTTGGGATGTCTGTCTTTCAGTGAAAACTGTCTCACCGTCTCTAATGGAGATAGAGTTCATCTCTGGGTTGATTATGATCTTGCCTCTCCATTAATTTAACTTTCATGACTTGGTCCTATCTGAATTAGTCTCCAGACTTGTTTAAGCTGCAAAGTTAAAACCATATAATTAATTTACTGTAATGATAGATATGATCCTGAGTATATGTATAAAGTATATGTATAAAATGCACGTCAAAACTTTTTATTTACGTTGTTCATCAAAGGATATTAGCAGTGTCAAAAGGTGGGAATACAACATGTCAGAATAAACCAGGCAAGGAAAGGAAAGTTAATTTGTATATCATACTTCTACCACAAGGCAACTCAGAGTGCTGAAGAAAACAAGATAGAAACAGTCACACAAGGCATTAAAATCATAAAAAATCACAATACATTAAAAAGAAAGATGAATATATAAAATCCCTCAGTTGTATGCACAGCTAAACAGAACTTTTTCTAACCTGGATTTAAACATTGTCATAGAAAAGGCCTGTCTCACATATTCAGGAAGATTTAATCCCTGTGCTCCTCAGAGTCTGAGTTGGTTCATCCATCCATCCATCCATCCATCCATTTTCTTCCGCTTCATCCGTTGCCGGGTCGCGGGGGCAGCAGTCTAAGCAGAGACGCCCAGACTTCCCTATCCACACTGTTATGGAAATTCTATTGCCTCAAATGAATGAAACCGAGAGGAAACAAACTTGTCCTTTGGTGCAGTTTATTCACAGAAGTGATGAGTACAAAAATGACATTTCTGCGCAGAAAGGAGTCAAACAGAAACGGGACCTGGAGCGATGCCGTGTCTGTCTGTCCCCCCCAACAAACATGTCTTATGATCTTATACTGGAGGTGTGTCAGACAGAATAATGGATATTCGTCACAAGAGAGATGAGTCATACGCAGCTGCAGACGGGAAAGTTTGGGAGATACATTAAGCGCACCGAAAGGACCTTCGAATTTGATAAGAAGGAACACGCTGTAAGAACATTTGAGATAGGCCCATGCAGGTGGTGGCGAAGGTTATGGGA